GATGTAATCTATATATTTTGCAGATTATCATTTGTAATATTGGCTAGCCTTAAGAGAAAGTCATGTGAAATGTTTTAGGGAAGAAATGAAGATACACCATTTGAATTGTGGGTTGTGCGGGCGTGCTGTGCTGCCCGTTATGTGTGTATTTATTTTTTTGGATGTTGTAAATTACAGGTAGTGTTGGATGACCTCATGGGAAGGTTATAAATTGTGTAAACATGATGATAAAGGAATGTGTGAAAAGAACACCCATTAGTAGAGGGGTTTTGAGTTGCTGCCCGACTACAGTTTTGGTAAGTCAAAGTGATCCAACCTTGTTTATTAGCTGGTAATATTAGCTCTATTACTTGCCATTAATGTAGATTAACGCCTCAAAAGAAAGGATGGTTCATGGTACCACATAGTATTGGTCGGGGGACAAGGTATGTAAAGCTATTTGATTTCATATTTTATGGCATGAAGTCCTATATTCCGTGTACCAACCAAGTGAGATCTCTAAGTGATCCTTATGGTAAAAGCTACAATGTGAGGGTGTACAATCTCCAATAATAATAATCTTCTTCATACCGCCCATGGTTTCAAAAATGTGTCAAGCTACTACTATGCATGTTCATTCTCCAATTTTTGTGTGTTTATACTTTCAAGTATTTTTATGACAAAGGTTCTCTAAACAGAAAATTTTATGAATTATCAACTAAGTCAAAGAGGATCATTGAGTCAATAATATCCTATATTATACATGTTACAAGTATTTGTATGACAGATACACATATGTCTATTATTCATTTTATATGTCCTTACATGGAATGTGCAATCCTTATTTGCGATATGTCATATGCTTCATTAGTTCACATGTTTATGCACCCTTACATTTGATATTGTCTACTAAGTGTGTAGCTATTGTATCATCATATGCACTCCTCCCTCTCCATTTGCGAAGTTATAGTCTCTATTTGAAATGCATGTATGCCTCCATTTGAGATGTCCAAATATGTTTTAAATGAACCATGTGCTAGTAGAGTCACTTGCTCACTTGCTATATCACTTAATGACTCATTTTCTACATGTCTTTATGTTCTCACTTGTTGTGTGTCTTCATGGCTCATTTACGAATATGATTTAGCCCAATAAGATTCATTGTGTCATATAAATTACCAAGTATTACTATAGTGAGGTTACATTTGTTTCTTATGTCATTATTGCTGCCTCAAGTCTTTTATTCACATGTTTACATCACTGGTGTATAGTCCCAAAGCTAAAAAGAATATGAACAATCTCAAAGATTAAAGAAAAGATGTAAAGCACATATGTATTATTATGGGTGGCAGCCTAGGGGCTGAAAGCCTAGCATGGGTCGATCCTGAAGGCAAAGTTGTATACTTATGAGTGGTAGCTTAGGGTTCAAAATACCTAGCATGGGCCGATCCCAATTGACATATAGACGGTGGCACCTCAGGGGTTATAATACCTAGCATGGGCCAATCCTAATTTGTATATGTATTAGGACAACATCCTAGGGGTTAAAATACCTAGCATGGGTTATCCTCTTCTACCACTGATCAGTTGGCATCGTATCAAATGCTACAAAGTTTATAAAGAAAAGAAGAGTGAATTAAAGCAAAGCAAAGAATGCAATGTACTCAATACCCCAAAAGAGTAAGCAAAGGTGGTTTTTCATCCTTATTTATGCATTTATAAATTGATACATAATTTCACTTAAGCTCTTGTTTTGCCTATGGATACTTTATGCTTTACATATTCAGTACATTCTTTTGTACTGATGTCCCTTATGGGGAAACTGTATTTCATGTCGCATATCTAGGTACCCAACCAAGTGCTAGCAATGGTGGTTCCTTCTGGTAGCGAACCGGCATCATATTCACCAACTTGTGGTCACTTGTGTCTCATACATATAAATATAGGCAATAGGCCCCATACCTTCCGATTATAGCTCGGAAGTAGAATGCATAGCATGAAATGTCATGGATTCATAATGCATTTGTGATACCTGAATCATGTTGCCAATCTTGGCTCGTTAGCACTCTTGTCCTCATAATCTTGTAATCACTTTCGTATCACATGTAAATATCTCGTATAACCATATGTTTGTAGATTAAACTAGAACACTTAAATCAAATTAAGAAAGGTAACTTAAACCTGAGGATGTTCATGAAGATCTTAAGGTGCTTCACCAAGTTTTTATATATGTTTCCTTAGTAATTTGTAAAAGAAAGTACTTCCAAAAAAAACATGTCCCTTAGTAGTTTAAACATACGAGTTACATTTAAGAATTTTGGAAATCGACATATTATTTTTAAATTTTCCAAAAAAGAAGAAAGTAGAGTGGAAGGAGGACTGATTTCAAACTCTTAATGTTCCTCCCTAACATTTCTAAGTTACAACACCTAAAGAAGAATAATAATATATACACACAGACCTACAGTCAAGGGAATCGACAAAATGACACATAGACGCCGAGTAACCTATATAACCGAACTAGTGGAATATCAACATATTGGAGTCACAAAAATATGTCAGCTGCAATCCCAATGCCTTTCACAGAAGGTCTTTCTAACAATATAATAGTAAAACAACCCTTGACGATTTAGGATTCTAAAATTCATGCTCAAAGGAAGTAACACTTAACCTTAACATACCTCAATTCATGGTCTTGTGGTATTAATGTGGATTGTACCCCTTCCTTAGTGTATGTAATCTACATGAAATCATGTCACACAACCATTACAGATAGAATACTAACACGTCAGGGTCAAAGCAGCAATTTAGAGATTAGTAGTAGAGTGACTAGCTTGCCGGACCCTTTTTAAATGTATGCTTCATTACATTTTATTCTCCAAACTACAATCCCAAATTAATGACCTAACATACATTTTTGCAGCAACTATTAACAAGTGGAGACCTACGCAATAGTCAACAACAATCAAATAGAGTATGCCCGCACAACAATAAAAACTCGACGTATCGCCACACCCCTCTTTTCAAACCCAAAACTAACCATAACCAAATCCCAACCATGAGCCTTCAAACCATTAAAGCCAGAAAAAACATATGTAATACAGTCCTATAGTTGTTCAATATAACCATAATAACTCTAACTCACCGCTTTCGATCACCATCCGGTGAGTTCATCCAATAATTACATTTGGAATCATGGCTTTCTCTTCATAAGCAATAAGAGGTTAAAAGGGAAGAAGCTTAATTTAAAATTGATGGAGCTTATAGTATTTTAGCATGTCTGGTCAATAACAAACAGTCTCCCTAAACACAAGATTTTGAAGCAAGAAGAAATAATTTGAAAATTCCAATGCAATAATAGAATCAATGTTACACTAATTTATCTTACAATTAAATACCCATATATACTTCTTCTTCTCTTCCAAAATCATATCAACAAGAGCCACACACATACAAAGCATTTCCAAAAATTCCAGCAACAACAACATCTGAAAATACTTCAAAACAACCCAACATCACGTAACTATCCAAATATAATTTTCCAGCCGTCTATTCGTATTCTTGCTTATAAAGTGTAGCTATAACTTTGAATCACTCAATAAAATGAAGGGTGAGAATTATTACCTCCAAACAGCAACAATACCACCTAAAAAACGAGACTCATTCACCATGAAGAATCCTTCAAATCACAACCAACGAGGAGGAAAGAAGTAACACAATCTCTATGAACGTTTACAGGGTGAAATTAAGGGCCGCTAATTACTTAAGCCTATATTAAATGTTTAAACTACTATCTATTTTATATCTTTTTAGAATTTATCTATCGATTTATAATTTCTTTTTTTAATTTTTCTTTAGTTAAAATTCAAATTGTGGTTATAAAATTTAAATAACAATATATTGAAATTATTGAGATTAAACAAATCAAATTAGGTGGGTCAAAATCCAACCGTTTTTAAGGACATTTAAATCCAAAGTAAATTTGAGTGGGTTAAGACCTAACATGATTTGTATTTCAATCCATTTTAATATCTCTAATTTTGGCCAAAAACATCCTTGTACTATACCTTTAACTTAAACTACATCCTTATTATATTTTTGTAAGCAAAAAACATCCTTTACATTTCTCAAAGTTAACAACTCTCATCCTTTCAATGTGCCACCGTTAAGAAACTAACGGGAGCTTCAAAATCATATGCAAAAAACGTGACTTTCACATGTCCAAAGAAAACACGAAAAGAAAAAAAAATAAAAAGAAAGTTTAAGAAATGCAGGATGAAGAGGATTCCACTTACTAAACAAAATTCAGATTTTTAATAAAACGTGCTATCAACTATTGAAATAAATCATAAAAGTTTCATGCAATTAAAAAAAAAAATGAAATTTAGATACCATGAAATTGACAATCTTTGTAGATTTTTTGGTGGACATTCGTTTTGTTCGATTTTGAAAATTTTGGCTCAATTTTTTCAATTTGAAAAATCAAAATTCATTCCGTTTGATTCATTTTTCTGAAATTTGATTCGATATTATTTCATTTGAAAATTTTATGTTGGGTTCTTGAATATGTGATAATTATATTTTTTGAGAAGGATATGTGATAATTACATTTAGTTCCAATGTAATAAATATCTAAAGTAAAAAAGAAATTGGAAAAAGAATATTTTTAAATATAAAACAAATATTTTTTTTTTGTGAGACATCATTAATATCAAATTAATTATATGATCATTTGAAAAATAAACAAACAGCTATACATGCGAATAACTTTCTGCCATGCTATATTTCTTTCACTTTGAGTTTTGTTTTTCTTTTTGGTTATGTGGTTGTGAAATTACGTGAGTTTTCTGTTAGATTTTAAGCTGTTAGTAACAGAAGGATGAAACCTGCCAATTTTGTGAAACTTTAAGGATGTTATTTGTTTACATTGATACTTTAAGGATGTACATTAGGTTTTGAGGATAGTATAGGGATGTTTTGGCCAAAAACTCTTTCTCATGCCCAATATAAAATCAATAAAGCTTTGATTTTGTAGGTAATTGGGGGAGAAATAGATGAGATAGAGGTATGAAGTCGAGCATGGTGGAAGAATTCGAGAAGAAGGTAGAAATTTCGGAGGAAGGTAATTACGGAGAGAGCGATCCATTGAAAATTGTGGCAGTGCTTCGAAGATTTGTGGGTGTGCAGCAACGCAGAGCCGAAGCTTATGCGAGGCTGAAGCGGTAAGGAGATTGATTTTCTGCTACCAAATCTCGTCTATTTGTCTTTTTGAGTATTTATTTGGGTTTTTGAAACTGCAAAACCCAATAACAGAATAAATTAGCTAAACACGCCTTCTGCTATGCCAAATGAAATCCTTTCCTCCAAAACTTAACCTTAAATTGAGCTAATAAGAGCATACATACAAAGGGAAACTGAAATCAAATCTATGTTGCGTTCCATCTTCAAGGTACTGTGTGGATTCTTAGCCCTCTTTCTTCATTTAGAAGTAGCACCTAGCTATTTATCAACTTCAACATAGACCTGTCATCCTTGTTAGGGAGATCTTCCACCTTTAAGGTCATAACACCAGTACTTGAACGCTTACTCTTACATTTCCCCACCTATTTTCTTCATTTGTACCATTTACTTTCATGTTAAGTTTCCAAAACATTGCTCTAGCTTGGTCCCTCAACCTCTCAGGATATGCTAACATCTCCTTAAATCAAATTTATGGAGTATTAGGACCAACGATGACAACAACATGCATTGCCAAGTGCCAACAATTGTAAACCGAACATCCCAATTTCGACTGTCATCCAGGTATACCTATTGTTGATGAGCTTATACATCTTCCAAAATTTTGCATTTGAGTTACCTCCAACCAAATGTAATACCTTGTTTCCCTATAGAATTAAAAAACCTTGACATACTTAAACAAACCATCCACTGTCGAACTAGATGTTATATGTTTTAAATAGGTGAATAATCTTTAACCATCTTTTCTTGCACTACACAGTTCTAGCTGCATAATCCCTGCAGTTATATGGAATTACCTGTGTCATGCTAGGAAAGATCAAGGGTTTGTTTGGAAACTACTGTATAATTACCAGAGTTATAAATTACAGAATATAGTAATTACAGAAAATACCTGGCTGTTTGACATAAACTGATAACGATGTAATTTTTAGTGTTATGTTTGGTTGAAAATGAGTAATTACAATTACTGACATAGATATTTTCATAAAAATATAAATTACTGAGTTAAATATTTTTTAGTTTTAAAATATAAAAATTACCCTCATCTTGTTCAATTTATGTGAGCCTATTTATGTTTAGTCTGTCCAAAGAAGAACGACCTCTTTCTAAATTTGGAAGGTTTAGTGAAATTATCATTTTACACTAATTGAGAAACTCCCTCCATTTCAATTTGATTGTCCTGTTTTGACTTGACACGGAGTTTAAGAAAGTAATGCAGACCTTTGAATCTCGTTGTCTTAGATTGAAGATATGTAGAATGTACCAAAATGACCTTTAATCTTGTGGTCTTAAACATGCATGTGAAAAGTTGAAACTAAAGAGTTTCCAAAAAAGGAAAGAGACATTCCTTTTGAAACGGACGAAGGGGTGTTGGATTGGCTTTTTTAAAGTGACTTGTATGCTATAAGCTAAAAGCCATAAGTTTGGGACACCCAACTTTTGGCTTTTTGGCTCTTTTTTTAAAAAAAAATACTTTTCCAGCCTTAAAAAAAGTGTTTGTTTCCCAAACAATTCCAAAACTAAAAGGAGCTTAAAATCCAAAAGCCACTTAAATTAAGCCAATCCAAACACCCACTAAAAAGGAAAGAAGGTCAAACAAATTGAAACAGAGGGACTATGACAATTGTAAGACAACAAGTTCTAAAAGTCATCCTTTCTTTCTTAAACTCCCTGGTCCATGACCCATCAAATAGCTTCACATAAATTGACATAGTGCAATTCATATAAAAAATCAAATAGTTCTTTTTCAGATGAACAAGTAAATGAGCTTTAAAGTATTCCAAATATATGTGTGTTCAAAAATATTAAATATTATCAGTTATAACTAGGTATTTTACATACTTGTTTTTCCTTAAAAATATATTACCAAATACGAATTTAGTTTTCTAAAGGCAAAAAAGCATCCTTGAACTTATTTCGGATTTTTAGCTACAGACTTATAATGTGCCCATCCTATTACCCCTATACTTCTTAAAACAGAATAAATACACACCTAAAACATGAGGACTCGTTTTGTATGAACGGGTAAAATTTACGCACCTGAAGTGTATATTTCTATTTTTCTTTTAAAGAAAAATTCTCCCTATCCCTTTTTTTTCTTCTTTTCTTTTCTCTTATTCCATTTTCTTTCCTTTTCTTTTTCGTTCCCCTTTCTTTGAAGTCTCAGTCTCACCAACGCCCTTTCTTCCATCAGTAAAAGGATGATAATGGCTTCAAAAATTCATGTGAGGAAACACCTTAAAAAATCCTATGGACACCTTTCTTCTCAAGGATACTGAAGTTTGGCCCATCTTTTTACTCCTTTGATTAGTTGCTTTCACTAATTAATCTCCAATGCGTTTTATACCTTGGGGTAGTGATGAGATTGAAGATTGAATTGGAAGTGATTTTTTAGGTGGGAATTTTCTCTAGATTTGAAATTTTTGTAGTGAGAGGAGTGTTGGAAAGTAATGGCCGTGGAAGCTAGCGGTGAAAGGGAGGAAGATGGTGGAGGCCTCCAGACTGATTTGTGTGTTAACGGCTATGGTGGATTGCTGTGTTAAAAAGGTAGCTATGGTGGATGGCTGTGCTGATGATCATTTTGGGAGACAAAATGATTTTCTTTTTGGAACGATGAAATGGTCCAGGGAAGAGGAAAAACAAACGGGAGAAAAGAGGTGATAGCCAGCTGTGGTTCTCTGTCGGTAGTGTTGCTGTGACCAGTGACTATAGGCAGTGGTGATCAATTTCTTTTTTCAAACAGATGATTAAGTAAGACAGAACTTATTAGAACTAGCTACCATGAATTTAAAATATTCATCCAAAATAGGAGCAAAACAAATGATGCCCTGAACAGATACATCCTTTTGACAAGAAAACAATATAGTAGGTGGTGATTGACTGTCTGTTTGGAAAAACAAAAGAAAATAAATAGGAAATGAAAGGTAAAAGGAAGAGAAAAAAAACCGTCAATTTAAAAAATAATGATAATTAATTTAGTGTAAATAAATGTGATGTATCCAATTAAAAAATGAAATTTAGATGTACTAATCAGTTTTAAACTTATTTTGCACGTCACATGCTTATAAGAGTGAGAAAACTTTCTGCGCTACATCATCAATCAAGAGTGTATTTATTCTGTTTTTAAAATCTGAACTACACCAATAACAAAATCTAATAATACACTCAGTTTTAACTTTTGTATAGAGCTGCTGTTGCCTTCAAAGCACTTAGAAATTTCTCTCCTTCCATATAGTCCACCATATTACTCTGCTGGGACGATTCCCCATTTGCTTTTGTTAGTGCTGCCTTCCAGGGGTGTTCCAGCTAATGTAAGATACTTTAAGATATAAAAGCTCATAAAAAAATGTAATAGCACCAAAAGCAATACATCTTTGGAAGACGAGAAAAAAAAAATGGAAGAGAAGAGTGTTAAAAGAATAATACATTTGATAGAGAAAACTAAAAGAATTTGAAAAGTCACCTTGTAATAGTTACCGGCAATTCATTTTTTTTTTTGAAACAGTTTCTAAATAATTTTTTTTTTTTTTGAAACAGTTTCTAAATAATTACTGGCAATTCTTACCTCTCTCTTGAGAATTGACGAGTTATTTCCCACCTCAATTACACTCAATTCCATGTTGAGCAAGTAATTATTGGCCAGCCAAACACATCAGAATCTTCAGGGAAATGACTCCCCTGCCTATTTTCAAGGAAAGAAATAGAAGCTGCTAAGAAGTTCGCACACCATGCACAGATTCTGTGTTCTAAGATACTTTTTTTTTTTTTTTTTTTTTTTTTTATTACTGGCAATTCTTACCTCTCTCTTGAGAATTGACGAGTTATTTCCCACCTCAATTACACTCAATTCCATGTTGAGCAAGTAATTATTGGCCAGCCAAACACATCAGAATCTTCAGGGAAATGACTCCCCTGCCTATTTTCAAGGAAAGAAATAGAAGCTGCTAAGAAGTTCGCACACCATGCACAGATTCTGTGTTCTAAGATACTTTTTTTTTTTTTTTTTTGGGGGTATAATAAACATAGATATGTGAATGTTAGCTTATTATATGGACTGTTTGATCTCATTGGAGTTGACTTTTTTTTTGTTTACAAATCATGTAGAACATCCTTGGTTCCTCTATTTAAATGAAAACAATTATTTGCTGATCAGAAGAAAGGATCATTTTATTTTGCCAAATTCCAATGATGCCTTGGAAACCACAGTATGCTAACCCTGAAAAGACTAAAAAAGAAAAAGTAAAGGAGGTAAGAGAACAAGCATGGAAGATGATGGAGATGGGTAATTGATATGACATAAGCCTTATAGTAGTCATTACTTACTGACACCCAAGGGTGTGGCCTAGTGGTTAATGAAGTGGTTTAGAACCTTGAGGTGTCAGTTCAAAACTCAACGGAGACAAAAAACACTAGGTGATTCTTCAGCCTTGGTGGACAGAGCTACTTGGTACTTGTTGCTGGTGGGAGGTGGAAAGTATTCCATGGAATTAGTCGAGGTGTGCGAAAGCTGGCCCAAACAACACAGTCATCAAAAAGTAAAAAATAAAAAGTAAATAAAAAATAGTCATTGCTTACTGAAATGATGTTTTAGTTATCAGTAAGTAATTCTGTTTCTCATTCCTAATTTGCACCATTTATGGGCAGAAACCAATATGATCTGATTATCTTGACTGTTGCTTCTTTCATGTCAATTTTGATTGCTATGACCTACGATTTGTGTTTTCTTTTAGAGCATAAAAATGTATAATCTTTCTTTTATCTTTTAGTCTGGATGTGTTGCAGTTCTAAATGGTCTGCTCATGCCCTTTGACTTGCAGAGGTTTTGAAGATTATATGGCTTCAGGAGTAGAATCAACTTACCAACAGCTATGCAGTGAGATCACTGCTGAATTTAATGATTGTTCAAAGCAGGTTAGTATGGTGGTGCATCGTGCAGATATTAATCCAGCTTCTAGTTTGTTTTGAAGGAGGGGGACAGGATTAGAGATCGGATCTACCTGTGTATTAACAGTTCACTCATACTGTAATCCATACTTAATTGGTTAATCCTGCCTATGAGAAACCCCTCCTTAATTGTTAGGTTCTTATCAAAAGAAGAAGACCCTCCATCCGGATAGGGATGAAAAGTTCATCTTTGACCCTTTCCCTCCTAATGACCCACACCAAGTGCTGCCACTCCCAACTAATATTTATAAATTTTCTTACTACATATAATAGTTGTACATAGTCGAATTATTCAGAGGTAGACAACTTTAGCCTATGTTGCTCGGACTCTTTAAAAATATCGATGGGTGTGTGTCGGATACTTCAAAATAGTGTATTTTTGGATAATCCGGCACATGTGCGAGAACATATTTGGAGGGTTCGAGCAACATAGACCTCAGCTACCATCCTACACTTAATGCATAAGCAAACATGAGGTACAGTTTATCCATCTTATCCACGAGCTCCTTGATAGTACCATGTCATGATCCCTTCACTTTCATCATTCACTATACCTCAACTCTGCCAGTGGTGTTATAATCCTACTGTCTACCGCCCATAACTGTGGTTTGGCTTATAGCTCTGAACAATGGCATCATGTTTGCAATTTCTGAGCAATTTTCATCACTCCAGGTCCTTGAGATGGAGTCTCAGTTTCTAACTGCCCATTGCTTCCGAGAAGATCTGTCTCTACTTTTGAGATCTGTTCAAAATCAAGAAAAGATGAAGCTGCAGCTGGTATTTCTGTCATTGAATTTGCAGTTATTTATTATAGATATTAGCTGTGAAATAGTATATGTTCTGTTTGACTTATTGTTTCTGTGCATCAGTAGAACATGCCCAGTGTAATCCCACAGTGGGGTCTGGGGAGGGTAGTGTGTAGGCATACCTTACCCGAGGTAGAGAGGTTTTCGGAAGACCCTTGGCTCAAGTAACGCATATCAAAGCAGATTTAAAAGCAGAAAACAAAAGCAAGGAAGACATCACAAATAATAGGGGAATCATTCTAAAACATACAAAGAAAAGGAACAATAAACATAACAAAATGAAATGATAACTGAAGAACAATAAACATGTAGTGGCAGAAATTGAGGGACCAGGAACTTTGAGAGTTTCTGTGCATCAGTGGTCTTCTTAATGTAGTAAAAACATTGAGAAAATACATAAAATTCCCCTCCTAAACTTGTCCTGAAAACTTAGTTACATAATTCAACTTCACAGGTGATTATTTACCCCCCTATTTTTTCGTCTGAAGTGAATTTAATACCCTTTTGAAAATGAAGATCCAATCTAATGAGGGGCAGTATGTTACACACACAGCCACGTCATATGCCACCTCAAACAACATACCCAGTGAAAATCCACTTAATTTTTTTTTCACTCCATTTACACTTTTTTCCACTTCCACCATCTCCTTCAAATTTCATATACTTCTGCCATTCCCTCTTCTCCCACGGACATTCTACCACTCCACGACTCCCTTTGCTTCAACTGTTACTCGACTACTTCATCTTCTCCTTTTATTTTATTTTTAATTTCCAATCACCATTATCCGGAGCTGTCAACATCAATATACACCTACAGCCATTGCCAACAACACAACCTACAATATATTGTCCTAGTCTAATATTGTTTTCAAAACTATCAGAGTATCAGTAACATTTTTAATCACAGAAAACAGGAGAAAAAAGTGATAAAAATAATCCAGCACACACCTAGATCGTTGAGATAAAGTGAATAAAATGAATCACTATCTTGTAGGAAAAAATGGTGCCGATGAGCACAAATCTTCCCAGGGGCCAGGAAATTGAAAAATTTCCCTTGATTTCTAATTTATTTTATTCCACTTTTTCCTTCTTCATTTTGTTTAATTAAGGGCTTGTTTGGAATGCCATATGGTAATTGGATTTCAGTGTAATTGGGTGTAATTACACAGTTTGACCAATTTGTTTGGGCATGCAATTACTTGGAAGGGAATTGGGTGTAATAGGGAGTGGATAATTGCACTCTCCAATTTTCAAGGGGGTTGAGAATTGAGTGCAATTGCATCATGTAACAACGAGGTTACTTTTAAATTTATTTCCCGTGTATTTTTATTTTTATTTCTTTTCTTCATAATTTATTTTTTCTATTAATTTAATTTAATTTTTTGTATTTTTACATTTAAAATTATTTTTAAGTTCTAAATGTATTTTTCTTTTATTTTCTTTCTTCTCATTCCCAACTTTTAGTCCTTGTGATTCCATTTTTTATTTGTTTTTTTAATCTCTTTTTTTGTGTAGCTACATTATTATTCTAGTTTTTGAAATTACATATATTAGAAAGAATGAGTCATTAACACACTTGATAGTGTGACTTAACAATTTTATACCCCTATAATTGTTACAATTTTGGATATCACTTGTACAATGGAACCATTGTACTACATCTCTATTCGTTAGGCATTTTTGCGGTCTTAAAAATTGCATTAAACAACCCAGTTAACCACTTCATACCTGGCTTCTCTGAGCACTTCCAAAATTCCACCTCAATCCCATCAGGTCTGGTCGCTCTTCCTCTATTCATCCTACTAATAGCATGTATAGCCTCCTTAACCCTAAAATACCTATATTGCCCGAAGTCTTTCAAAGTACGCCAACTCACCCAATACAATGTTTCTGTTCCCTTCTCCTTTCAAGAGTTTGTGGAAGTAAGCTTGTCATCTTTACTAAATGGAGGTTTCTTCCACCAACACCTTGCCTTCCTCATCCTTATGCACTTCACTTGATCGAAGTCGGAGCCTTTGTCCCCTAGCTTGACTACGTTGTAATTACTAGGATGTGTAATTACTACCCTAGTAAATATGCCAATTCTAATTATCTAGTGGCTTTCCAAATAGACCCTAATACTAAATTCACCAACAAATTTCTCTACGAAAACATAGTGCAAGGAGGAGGATAATATATTTTGACCAATAATTTATCACCTATTGTTCCTCAATATTATGTTCCCGAAAACTACATTAACTATGGTGAAAGAGAATGTAATATATCTCTGAGTGAAGGTAGAATTGAAATTAATAGTGGTGTTAAGGGAGTGGAGAAAGAAAGATATGTTTGTCTGTTTAGGGAAGAAAGGTGATTGGGAAGAAGACAAACAAGAAAGAAGAATAAAGAACAAAATAAAAAAATGGAAAAAGAATAAAAAAAACCTAAAATGAAAAATGTTATAAAAACTAATTAAGTACAGTTACTTTTTAAAGAAAAAACCAATAAGAAGATGACAAGTATATGAGTTTGGCTGCTTTTGGTATTTTCTCTTCTCACGCGATTTAAGACAAATGATAGCACATCTTTTTCCAGAACACCTGTTAGGGGGTATTAAATTCACTTTGGACAAAAATAGGGGGTTCTTAATAATCACCCGTAAAGTTGGATTGTGTAACTAAGTATTCGAAACAACTTTTATTACATGCTTAATGCGCAAAAGGTTTACATGTCCTGATCTTGAATTATTTTGCCATGCATGGCTTAACCCAGTGGCGGAGCCAGAAATTTTAATAAGGGGGTTCAAAATTTGAGAAGTAAACACACGAACTAGTGGAAGGGGGTTCGACATCTATTATACATACCTAAAAAATAATTTTAACCATGTATAAATAGTACTCCCTCCGTCCCATTTTATGTGGCAACATTTGATCGGGCACGGAGTTTAAGAAATAAATGAAGACTTTGAAATGTTTACCAAATTGCCCTTTAAAAAGTAGACTCACTTTTCTCTCTCCTCATAAATGTATTGGAGTATTATTTTAAGATTAAGTGGGACCAACAAGGGTAAAAAAGGAATTGTACCTTTAAATACTTACCATATAAGAAAATGTGACATTCTTTTGGGACTGACCAAAAAGGAAATGGTGCCACATAAAATGGGACGGAGGGAGTAATATTTTTCGCCGAGGGGGTCCGAACCCCCTCATTATATGCTGCCTCCCCCCAGGCTTAACCCTCAATTTCTTTTTATGCTCGTGTTGGTACATTTGTTGCTTATTTGGTTCGAATAGCTTGTTTAGGTTTCATGACCAGTGATTAATATCCATATATTTAAAGCATTTGTTTGATATGAGAAAGACTGGTCCCATTTAATTTTTGTTAGTCATAACATTGGTGGACTTGTTTATTATCTATCCCAGTAAAAAGGTGATGGAGATGAAAAGCTTATGACCACCTACAAAAGTTAGCATTTGATAATTGGAAGCAATTCTTGAGTACTCCATTTTAAATTAAATTGTAGTTTGAGGATCTGTCTGAAACATATTGCCAGAGTGCTTACCTTTGCAATTGGATGATGGTAAGGCAAATATCTTAAACTAAAGTTGGCAGGGAGACTGATAAATGGAATAGGCTGGTACAGACAGGCCTGATTCCAAACAGGAAAGGAACGGCTTTATAAAAGTTGAAGTGTATTTCAAGGATAAGAGATTACGATAAGGGGATAGTTGTTAACGTTATTAAAATAGGGGTGGAGTGGGGGTGAGGATATTTATCGAACAAGTTCTGGCTCTTCTTGTTACTGGACAGAATATGGTTTGGATACTCTTGCATTCCCCTCACCCCTAAAACCCCAAATTTGTTGCATTTCAATAAATTCATGCTGATGAAAACAAAAACAGTTAAGGTGAAACCTCATTATTCTCCTTTTGTGTGTGTGCGTGCACATCATTGTTTAAGTCATCTAAAGGTTTCATAATAGTGTGATGGATTTCTCTGAAGATAATTTTTTTTTGATAACTGAGAAATCCATCAGTGACCCGCCCGTTGGACCAATCACAACCTTTTAAACTCAGTGGATAATGGGCCCGCCCCTCTACCCTTCTCCACTTAAATACCGGGCTTCGCTTTGCATGGTGTGGGGCTTGATCCTGCGACCTAATCTACAAATCCTCCACCTTTTGCCACTCAAGCTAGGCCTTGGGGGCCTGAAGATCATTTTTTTTTGTACGACTTATTTTCTTGATATCGTACCTCACAGTATTTAAAGAATATCACAGTACCTCATTCAGTTCAAATGTCAATCAGGACTTGACTTCCAATCTGTAAATGTGGTCCAGACTAGAGAATGTTTGGATTGTCTTATTTTAAATGCTTTTAAGCCAAAATAGCTTTTAAGCACTTTTGTAGTGCTTAGGTTAAATTAAAAAAAGTGCTTATATGAACCGGGTTATAAGCTAAAATGATAAATATAAGCCAAAAGTCCTAAGTTAGAATTTCTAACTTATGGCTTTTGGTTTATAAGTCAAAAATCAAAAGCCCAACCCAAACAGGCTCTAAGCTTCTATGCCGCAACTTCAACTTAATTTTAGCAACTTTATTCATTGGCCTTACATTGTTACCTTTCTTACATAGCTACCTTTCATAATCCTGAGAAAATTACTCTACAATTCCCTCTATCCCAAAACTTGTAATGGACATTTCTTTTCATACTTGAACTCACATCATAATTTTGTTCTCAACAAGAAAATTTGGTATATGTTTGTGGATTATCTACTAAAGAGAAGTTTGAGCGAAACTAACTGTGATTTAACTGTTTAGACTGTGTGCATCTTAAGTTACATTATCTTACATTATCCGTAGACGTTGGAGTTTGGAAAATAGCATAACATTAGCCTGTGCTAGTTTTGTTGATGTTTGAAAAAGTTTCATTCATAAGTGTTGTATTTGTAAAAAAATACCAGATAGGAAACATGTTATTTTTGTAATCAAATACCGAATAGAAAACGTGTTATATTTGTAATCAAATACCGAATAGAAAACGTATTGTATCTGTAATCATATTACAAATTAGGAGTTCGAGAGAAAATAGCCGAGATATAATTGCGCTTAGACTATGTATATCTTAAGTTACTTTCTTTGTAGAGGTTGGAGTTTAGAAAATAACATAACACATCAGCTGTGCTTGTTTCTTTGATGTTCGAAATTTTCACCGTCTTAACTGTTGTATTTGTAATCAAATACCAAATTAAAGGAAGTTGTATATCTGTAATCATAGTTGTACAATTAGGCGACAAACTTGAATGAGAGCTTTTTCTTCTTGTAAATGCTTTGCATCACTGAGTGTCCTCAGTTACAGGGATTAGATTTTTTTTGGTAATCAATTTTTAGTAGCCTAGCTCTGACCAAAGCAAAAAGTTTCAGAAAGTTACCAGAAAATTTTAAAAAATATTTTCCAGAAAATAAAGCCGAAGCTAATGGTAGCTTCAATTAATAAGCATGATGAGAATGATAATAGATGTGTTGTTAAGAACATTATAATGGCGGTAATGCACATACATTTAAACTTCTAAGAACTACTATGTTTATTTTCTATGGCGGTGTTTGGCTGGACACGACTTTAAGAAAGAAAGACTGACTTGTGATAGATTACCTAAATGTATATGACAACGAAAAGTACCCTTCAGGATCTAATGATCTTAAACTTGTGTCACACTTCCTTTAGGAGGATCACTTTAAGGGGAAAATGGAGCTGTAATAGTTTGTGTTTCTAAATGTAGAAAGGTGTCGATCTCTTAGCAACAAACTAAAACAGGGAAGAGTTCTATATAAATCTGAACGTGGGAACTGGGTATAATTTTATCTTCTCCAGAATCCATGCCCAAACTATCTTCCCATGATTAACTTCCCTCTTCTTATGTATCCTAGTTTCAAGAATTAGTCCAAATATTTGATGTTCAGAGTGCTGCTATGTATGTTGTCTATGTACGTGAGAGACATGGCAAGCTTCCATTTCTTTTTATGACTTTGCTTGACGTATTGTCGCAATTTGTCTGGCAGACCGCTACAATACAAGTCTTGAAAAGAGCTGGCCGCCCCTCGGAGCGTCTAGTGAGTCATGAAAATTGTAGATTTAGTAAGCCAACTGGACATGAATGCGTGCATATCCAGAAGATAACCGAAGCTTCAGGTACTGAAGAAGCAGAAGCTGATGCAGAATTTGATAATGCTCTCAAGGAAGCTATCAATGGTGTTCAAGATGCAGTGACGGCAATAAATGAACATTTGGAAGAAGTTAGGTATGAGATTGCAGCACTTGAAGACTAAAGATGTAGTCGGTTGACTTTGCCTTTTAAGTTAAAGGCACAATGCTATGAAAAGTCACCCCGTAAATTCCATGGCAATCAAGACATTATTCATCATAACGGTTCCATTCGTATAGGCGGCAAACATTTTATTCTTGATGGTGGCACAGGGAGGTGATATATGTATTGCATTGAGAAGTCTATTTGAGCTCTTAAATTAAGCTTTCAAAATTTGGTGCTCAATTTTATCATAAAGAACCTGGGCATTGTAAAGCTAATTTGTCTTGAGCTTTTTTGTCACTGTATAGTAAGAGATAAATATGTCAAGTTCCATGCCATTGATGAAAGAAGAGAAAATGGCGAAAAGCTCACAAACCGACTCCAGATATTTGCACAAGTAGGAAAGGTATTTTATTTTGTTGAATGACAAGTGCTATGTAAGCTAACTTCCACCTAACCACATTAGTCAGTAGAGTCTAAAACTAACTCTAACAGCTTAGCACTTAAAAATAATTAACCAACTAACAAGTTTAAGTAGTTAGTCTGCATTTATCTCAAGCTAGGCACATTGAGAATATTTTTCAGTCCTAGCTTGGACAAAAAAAACGTGTGTTGGTGAGTGTCTGCTAGTAGGTAAGTAGAGGACAAATATGATGGAATTAGTAGACTGTTGAGTCTTATCTCGGATAAAATGACAATCAATATCTATATGAAATGGATGATTAGCAGCAATTGCAGTTCTGCATAGCAGACTTGCTATGACAATTCACAAGGACAAACAAATAATTCTTTGAACTCACCAACTCTAGGTGCTAAGCTCCTATTAAGCCTCTGTTGAGCTCCTTGATATAGTTACCTCCTTATATTTTCAAGAAATCAAAGAATCACCAAACTTGACCAAATATCCTGTTAGACATCTTTTGGTGTTGGGGAACAAGTTGTTTAGAGTAAATGCCCAATTAATAGATATCTGACAATCCTAATAGAAGCTTCCATGTGTGAAGCCTTGGGATGTTGCATCAATTGACTAAGACACTGAACAACAAAGCTGAAATCAGGTCTAATCACTGTTACGTATAACAATCTCCCTATAAGTTTTTAATATTGTCACGACCCAAAGTACATCCTAGTCGTAACATGGCGTATAGGACCTCGAGAGACCCAATACAAGTCACTTAGCATACATATACAAGATAATAGAATCTTAAAGAGTTCAAAAGACATTTGAATCATAAAGAGTTCCATCAAAAACAGAAGTCTAACATAAGTCTCAAAGCCACTATTGGAAAGTGATTGAAACGTAACCCATACATCACAATATGAAATGAAAAGATTTGAAAGCAATAAAGAATCTTGGTCCTCGGAACATGAGGACTCACCAATCTTCAATGTCTATATGGGATCACTGGCCACGAGTGTGCGGAATGGAAGCGTCGGACCCTACATTAGTGAAACAATGTAGGCACAAGTATGCATTAGTACATGGAATGTACTAAGTATGATAACAATGCATAAAGAGTAATGAAATCTTGCTAAAAGGGACTTTATATGACATGCAATGATCAAGCTAAATCATAAAATAACATGTTAGAAGACATAAGTCGAAATCATGGTCAATGCAAGCTAAACATCTTTAAAACACATTTGAGATACTTCTAGAAGTAACCTTAGTTCATTCTTGTGGGAAGTTTGCCATTAACTGACATAGACCATGTGAGCTATAACATGGAATCTAGTGTCTATTCCACATCGAAAAGAGATGTCCTTACTTGCCAAGGTAAGAACCATAAACTTCTAGCTTAGGTGGATCCACTAGCTAATCTCTATCTAAGACAACCTATGGTGACACATAGTTATGTGATAGGGAGATTGCTACTAGAAACCCAGCCTCAACTATGGGAGAGCTTCCATCTTGATATCCTCTCGGTGCTAATTAAGCATAAATCCCACGGAATAGTCATTAATCTTAACTTATCTTATTATCCATGGAAGGGCACATGAAGTAGCCAATCAAAGCTAGAATTCATTATAGCCAATCCTAGGTGAGAAAACCTTTCAACCTTGTGAATCATTTATGTGAGCAAATCCTTTCACAATAACTTCATATGTGAGAAATCCTTTCACAACAACAATTCATAAAGAAACATGCATATCTTCATAAATTCATCTTTCATATTTCAAAAGCTTCATCATATAATCAAAATCCAGAAAATTATGGATCATGCATGGGTTCAATTGCATTGAACTTAAAAACATGTAGTTATCTCAATTCATGCATAAAAATACATAAAACAATCAATTGGATCATAATTGAGAGCAACCCATGAAATTGAATAAAACCCTAATTTCAATTGGAGAACTCTAACTTGTAATATTGGAGAATTTAGGAACCTTATGGAGGAAAGAACTCCACAGGTGAATACTATCATACCTTGATGTCAAAAACCCCCAATCAATGGTGAATTTGGAGACTGGATCCTGAAACCCTAGACTAGTTTATCAAACATATCAAGCCTATTTAAGAATGACAAGAAGGTACATCTATTAATTGCCTGTGTAGACTTTGGCCTATTCAAGAATGACAAGAAACAACATGCATTAATTAGTTTTTGTACATTTCGGGTTACCTAAAATGTTAACAATAACATACTTTTTGCAGTCTTCCAACTGGGATCTTTGAAGGGTAGGATGTAAGCAGATCTTACCTCTACCTTCGTAAGTCAGAGACTAAAAAACTCTCGATTCAAAAGGAAAGTACCTAGGATACAAAAGAAATGTAACAATAAGAGGTTACCTAAATGTTACTGATGGTAATCGTCCATAAAATACAATAAGTTAAATGCAATCATGTATAGTTGGCTCATCACTTCGTTTGAGTTGGATGTTGGTTTGCAACCATTGCAGGAAGAATCAGTACTAAGTAATTAGGAAAAGGAAATTGAACAGATAGAGCAACAACAAAATACATGTTTTATCGCAAATACTTCTTAACTAAATCAATCAACAAAGAAAATAAAAACAACATTCAGCTGCAAAATTCTCTTTTGTATTCAGATTGCATAACGACAATCACAAGAAGCTCAGCTCAAAAACATAAAAAACTGAATTGTATCGCAACTTCAAGCAACATGAGAAATTGTAGCTATAACTTATAGAACAACCTTGAATTCCTTAAAATACCTATAGAAATAACCTATTATAATCAAGAAACTCGCCTTGAAACTATATACTCAAGTGAAATCCTCACTAACCACATAACTGAAAAGTAGCAATAAGATGATTTTCAGTTCACTCGAGTAGCCAACATGTCTATAGATATGATTGCACAAGTGTATAAACAAATTCGTAACAATGACCACGATTTAATTTTCTGACTGTTCTTCCCTCATTTCAAACAAATCATACTAATTACTCCCAAACTCCAAAAAAAAGAAAACAATCAAACCATGTAAAGACAAAAGCATAAAGTACCTGTAACAATTAGCAAAGTTCAAAAAAAAAAATTCAATTACAATACTTAGAAACCAGTAGAACACGAATTGAAAATATTGATTCTTAATTTCAGCTTCAATTCTACAAAAATTGAAACAAGTAGAAATAGGAATTACTTAACAAATCATATATATAAATATATCAAAATATATTAAAAACTCGAAGAGATTTAACTCGAAGCTCCAATTCTCCTTCAGAAATTCATACTAAGAACAACTCTTCTTTCACACACACATACACTATCATAGAAGGTTGTGAACGTGTTCAGAAATTTCTCAAACTTGTGAGAAATACCAAAACCCTACCTGAAACGAAGTTGATGAAGCGAGATCTTCTTGCTCCTAAGCAAACTAGTAATGGATGACCCACTTCTCAATGGACTCTTCGATCAAGACCTTCCGACGATAACCCACACACCACCTCTTCCTTATATGCCGAGAAGAAACCTTGTTTTCTTTCCATTTCCTGGAAAAAATCAAAATCCCAAAATATTTTTCAACCAAACAAATAGACTTAAGGGTTAGCATGAACGAAATTTCTAGGTCATAAATTGCATAATCACATAAGAGAGTAGAATCTAGAAAGGGCACTTAGCTGAAGAGATGGAGCAAAATTCTTTAAGAATGAAATTTAGGTCTCTGCTTCTATTTTTTTCTGGTAATTACTCCTTAATATCGACAATGTCTTCCAATAATAGCATTACAATCAAAATGGTATATCATAACAAACCCCTTAAACCGTATTATCAAGAACCCTAATCCCCTTTTCCAAACCAAAACACATCAATATCCAAAAAAGAAAAAAAAACTAATCAGATCTCGTCTTCATGAAAAAGCATATTGGGAATGCCTTTACTGAAAGGAAATTTTCGGCCAGTCTCTGGACAAACCAAGGCACCCTCTTCAAGATGAAGCTCAAGAAGGGCATGATGAAACTTCTGAACAAAATCATCTAAGTCGAGCAGAGCAACATCAACATTTCAGGAAGTTCGGCGTAACCCATGGTTCTAGAAGCTTCCGCCAGTTCCTTCCATTCAACCTTAAGGAACATGTTCTTGAGAAAATCGATATTAAAATCAACCTCCCTCTCTACTTTCACAACCTCGATCTTCAACGGAAATCCATTTGCGACTTCCTTGATGTTGGATGATAATATATTGTGAGTTAGCAACCTCTTTTGGAAGTTGGAAAGAATTTGCTAATGCGAGGAACTTTCGATTTTATAGGCCTTGGACGGTGCCGGAGAAATTGTATTTTCAGTCGTTTACGGAGGAATCTTATAATTTTAGCCAAAAATGATACTATATCCCATAGTAGTCTTATCTTTTAGAAATTGGGGGAAAGTTATATGGGGTGGGGGGGGGGGGGGGACTCTTATTGCAATTTTTTTTATGAGAATTAATACGACACACTTATAAAGTGTTGTTTTTCGACTTATAAATATAGCACAATTTAAAGTGTGACTATATATATAAATAAGTGTTGACAATTGTTCTATGATTTGGCAACACTTATTAAGTGTAGCATATTAAAAAGCACACTTTCAAAGTGTTGCCAATATTTTTGTGGCCAAAAGCTGGATATAAAGGTCACACTTTAAAAGTGTGCTCTTAGATACTTTTTGCAACACTTTTTAAGCGTTCTCTAGAATTAGTGTTGCCATAGGCCAAATTTGTTGTAGTGAGAATAGCCAATCCTAGGTGAGAAAACCTTTCAACCTTATGAATCATTTATGTGAGAAAATCCTTTCACAATAACTTCATATGTGAGAAATACTTTCACAACAACAATTCATAGAGAAACATGCATATCTTCATAAATCCATCTTTCATATTTCAAAAGCTTCATCATATGATCAAAATCTAGAAAATTATGGATCATGCATGGGTTCAATTGAATTGAACTTAAAAACATGTAGTTATCTCAATTCATG